CATGAGGGTAGGGGGAAGGTGTGAGGAGAAGGGGGAGAAATGGAGAACTGACTGCAATGATGCACAATCCCCCCCCTCCCCAGGGGGACGAACCACAATAACGTGGATGAAGGGAGACAGTGGATGGTGTAAGATATGAAATTAATAATAATTTGTAATTTATCAAGGGGTCACGAGGGCGGGCGCGTGGGGGAGGGAGGGAAAAAGGAGGAGCTGATACCATGGGCTCAAGCAGAAAGGAAATATTTTGAAAATGATGAAGGCAACATACGTACAAACGTGTTTGATACAATGGAGGTATGGATTGTTAAAAGAGCTGTAAGAGCCCCCAATAAAATGATTTATTTACTTTAAAACCAACAACATTTAGAACCTTTGGTGGGGGGGATGAGAGGAGGAGTGTAAGTGCAAGTGCAGGAGCAAAACAAAGCAAAGAACCGGGGACCTGGAGAGGCTCCTCCCGCGCCTGTTTGTCATTAGCTGCTGCGTAGGCTGCTCCTGCCCCCTGGGCGTCTCCACACACAGGTCAAGAAACGCTACCCGCTCCTGCGTGGCCTCCATCAGGGTCCCCTCCCCTGGTCTTCAGAAGTCGATCTTGAGGTTTCCCTCCATGCTCCTCTTAATCTGCTGAACTAAGTCTACTCTACTGAAACCTGTGGGTCGAGACCCCTTTGGGGGTCGAACGACCCTTTCACAGGGGTCGCCTGATTCAAAACAGTAGCAAAATGACAGTGATGAAGTAGCAACGCAAATAATTTCATGCTTGGGGGTCACCACAATATGTGGAACTGTATGAAAGGGTCGCGGCATGAGGAAGGTTGAGAACCACTGCTCTAGAGTATTTTAGCAGCACACAAGCCTCCATGGGCAGATGGGCAGTGACTGCAAATGACGTGCCCTGGTCAGAAGTGAACCGGCATAAAAAGCAAAAGTTCTGCCACGGAGCCATGCTGGCTCATCATGCTGATTTAGCATTCTGCTGGTTACCCTGGACCAGTGAGTGTGTGCAGGAGGGAGAGGTGGCTCCTGGGAAACCCTGCAGGCACAGTTTTACTCTGCCCTGTAGGGTCCCTATGAGTCAAAACTGACCCCATGTCAGTGAGTGTGGTAGTTACATCATCTGGTGTCACTTTGGGACTTGAGAGGATTATGAGTGAAAGGGTGGAGTGTAGTCTGTCAATCGGGTCATAGCCAATGAGGCCTCTGTGTGGGCCTGGCCTTCCCCTGAGGATTCTGGAAATTCCTGTTTTTTCCTCTTTGGAGGTAGGAGACAATTTCTCTCTCTTTACTCCCTTGGAGACTCTACTGACAAGGCTGATCCCTGTGAGACATCCCTGAGGAGAAGCCACATGGATAAGGTGACCAGATTTTAACATTGGTAAAGCAGATTGATCAAACTCATATCCTGGCGAAATAGCCACATGGCAGTCGAAAAACCGTATACCCTAGCTTGTCGTGCATTCTTTCCAAAAATCGGAACTTTTAAAAAACGCTGTGGGACATGGGACAAATTGTTAAAAATCGGGACTGTCCTGCCAAAAGTGGGATGTCTGGTCACCTTACGCAGGGACCTACCCTGATGCAGCCCTGGGCGCTGGAGAAGCCTCGTGGAGACCCCTGCCAGCGCTGAGATGCTTACAATGCCACTGGATTCACAAGACTTCCCACCTGCTTTCCTGTGATCTTCCTGCAGTCAGCATCATTGCATGTGTTTCGTGAGTCTGAAGAGGACTTTACAGACTGGTATCTGACATATGGGCTAGTATTAGATTTATGGGCTTGATCTGGACTGGGCTGGGATGTTTCTGTGTTCAATTGCTCTTGTCTAGAAACCTATTTCTCATACACATATGAGGGTCCATGACTTTGTTCCTCCAGTCTACCCAGACTAACACAGGGAGCTTGCATAATTGTACTACTTTACAAAGTTACACTACCTCCATAGCCCTGCCCAGCTATTTTTTATTTCAAACTCAGAACTCACTGCCATCAAGCTGTTGCCGACTCACAGCAATCGGATACGGTAGAGCTGCCCTGGTGAGTTTCCAAGACTGTAACAACTTTAGGGGAGTAAAAAGCCCTGTCATTCTCCTGAGGAGCGGCTTGTGGTTTTGAACTGCTGACCTTGCAGTTAGCAGCCGAATGGGTAACCCACGACACCATTAGGACTCCTTATTCTTTCATTTAGACAGCAGATATTTTCACTCTAAATTACGCATGTCTCAACCTTTTCTCAGCACCATTTCTTCCATCCCATCAGCTAACACAAATATTTTCTGAATACCTACGATGTTCCAGGCACCGATTTACATGGACAGAGATTGAAATACAAGTTGAAGACTGGTTCTAAGCCACGGTTCCCTTCTCTCTGAGCCTCAGCTTCCTCATCCACAAGATGAGAATGAGAGTACCTGCTTCCTGGACCTTCTCCCTGTTATGGATATGAGACCTCCTTTGTCATGTGGAAAGTGGATACTAGGAGTTCCAGGGGTGGCTTTTCCAGATAATTCTGTGGAGGAGCCTTCCTGAAGGGTGATTCTTTCCCCCCTCTGGCTTCTCTCCACCCTCAGTCCCCTTTTGGTACGGTTCTTGGTCCTTGCTCCCTAGCAGGTCTGGCTGAGGCCACTAGATATAGATAAGATATAGATAGAGGATATAGATCTTTACAGAAAGCATTGTCTTTCTCCTATAGAGCAGCTGGTGGGTTTGAACTATAGAACTTGTGATCAACATCCCAATGTGAATCCACTGGACCACTAGGGTGTCAGGTAATGGTGAGAAGGTCACGTGGTGGTGGCTGATGGAGAGAAAGGTGTGGTTTCTCTGTGAATAGGTGACTTATCAAGAGTGAAGGCTTGTAAGAGAGAAGGGAATGACATCATTCTGTTCCTGGTGGGTCCCTTTGTGATTTCAGACAAGTTCCTGGTTTGTGCTTAGCTGCCTGAGGGCAAAGAGAAAGGGGATGGCCCCAAGGAATGCTGCCCTGCCCAGAGGCAAGGCTCAGGGAGTGTCTGGACCTGAGCCCTGAAGGGCAGAGGCCGGGAAGAGAACTAGGATTGGAGGTGGAGGGAAGGGATGCCAGGAGAATAGGGCGGTGGAGCTCATGGGCCAGGAACAAGAATTACCCTCAGAAGCTGGACCAATGCCTGTCGGGTGTAGAAGACCCATTCTGCTAACTAGTGTTACTAATGACCACAGCTCCTCAACCTGTTCAGAAGATTGGATGCCGGGAGGTGCTCTCGTGCAGTTGACACAAACATTTCAGGAACAGGTTGCTATTCCCATTTTCCAACGGAAGAGCCTGAGCTTTTCATTGACTAAGGACTGGATTTTGAGCCCCTTGTTCTGCGATGACCTCTCTCATCAACACAGCGACTTGTCCTTCACAATGGTAAGCATCATGTGTTATGGGCCATGCATTTAGATGTTGCACCGTTGATGAAAAACAGGTACACATCGTTCTGGGATTCTCTGCTACAGTCAAGGTCCACCTGATGCCAGCGATGATCCCCCGGACTGCTGTCCTCTTCTGAATCTGGCCTGGAGAGCATGCTGTTTCGTTTGTTGTACGCAGGCGCACTGAGTTGGAAGTGACCTGATTGCAGCCAGCAACATTAGGACTTGGGCCAGTTCTCTGAGTGGCTGACCACGATTACCCTTACATCCTCTCCCTGTTTATAAATATGATAAACATGTGATATGATGGCATACATTGTTATTTTGGGGCGCTGAAGAGGGAACAAGGGAGACCAAAAAGGTATTCATTCATTGACCTTCCAGTCATTAATCTATCGTTTATTCAGCTTACATTTCCTGTGAAAGTGTAACGTGTTGATAGTTGATCAGCATCCCTGAGTCCAGTCTTGGGTTAGGTGTGATTTTTTTTTTTCAATCTCTCTCTCATAAACAAGTTGCACGGGCCCCTGATACATCATCCAAATAGTACAAAAAAGAGTAGAAAGTCTTGTTGGTGTTTTGGACAGTCAAGTGGGTTCTGGCTAAAGAAGACCCCACGTGCAAACAAGCAAAACGGGGTGGCCTCTCCCTTCCTCACGGTCATTGCCATTGTCCGTTGCTTTGCAGTCTGAGGGGGCTTATCTCCCGCCACTATCTCAAGCAAGGTTCACTGCTATTTAGAAGGCGTTCTCTGGCCAACTTAATTGTTTAGAGGCTGGGCCCTTCTGCCTCGTCTGTTCTCAGTCTGGACGCTCTCCTGAAACCTATCCACCCTGGGCGGCCCTGGTGGCATTTGAAATACCAGCAGCATAGCTTCAGCATCGCAGAAACACACCAGCCACCGCAGGACAACAAACGGACAATCTCAACAGACCCAAAAAGGAGCAGGAAAAGCAAGCCGCTCCTTTTTCCCCCCCGCCAGGCTGGTCCCTCTGGGCCTCTGGTGGGGCTTGTGTGCATCCGTCATAGAGGTCTCCGCAGGCAAGAGTGCGTGTGCCCGTGTGCCCATGTTCCCCTCCTTCCAGAACTGCAGCGTGCTACGGACCCAGCCTCTGCACCTGGCTTTCTGGTCTTTAAAACGATGGCGATGTCCAATTGTCTACAGATGGGTCCCCATCTCTATTCTTCAGGGGCCCCCGCCCCCCGCAGCTCACATGGGTGTGATTTTGTTCTGGACATCCCCTCACAGAACGGTAGCATTTCTCCCAGACGATCCAGCCCCTTGGCAGCAAGATGCCCCTCGGTGAGGCTGTGGGTGGGGTGGGCGGGGCTCCGTGACCTGAGGGCCTCTCCCATGGCTGATTTTGGTGATGCAACCTTGAGCGCAGGCAAGCTGGGCCTTGCTCTCCCCTGGATCCAGTGTGATTCAGGGCCTGTGGCGTGGCTTCCCCACCAGCAAATGAGCTGAAAGAGACCTTTCTTGGCTG